AGGGTTTGTATTAGCCAACTGGGAAGGAAAAAAAAAAAAAAAGGATATCCTTGTTTCACTTTACATTTTTTCTTGACGCTTAGTGCAATTGAATATCTTTTGTGTTTGTTTGCCATTTATTTCTTTATAGGCTTGGCTTTTTGTTCCGATCTCTGGGACTTATCTGTGTAGCCAGGATTTTCATCCTTGGTGATATACACATAGATTCTTTCAGCACGTCGACTTGCCTTTTGACTCGTTCATTTATGGTGTGTCTTTCGTTGTAATTTTTTGTTTTAATGTCGACATTTTTATTATTTTATCGCAATGGGCTTTTGGTTGAAAGCCCTGTGTGTCCTATGGTTATAGATAGATACATTCTAATTTTTTTGAGGTTTTTTTTGTTTGTTTTTTAGCTTAGGTTTTGCTTTTCTTATCTAGTCTCGTACCCTAGCTGGGATTCTCCGTGCCCATGGCGTGGGGCGTGGCCCTTTTCCCACGTGGGTGCCCGATGTCCCCAGCGCCCGTTCGTTCATGAGAACCATCCGCTGGTTCTTGGCTGTGTTGGCATCACTGAGGAGCTTTAAAAAACACGGGCCTGGACCCCATCCCAGTGTGGGCATCGGGATTGCTGACAGTCCCCGGCCGACCCCGTCATGGGGCCACAGTGAGGGCTGCCAGCCTCAGCTGTTCTTTCCTCGCTGAGGTGAAAGGCTGGCTTTCCTCCTGAGCTTGATGGACGTAGACTCTCCTGCCGCCTCCCCGTGTCGTTCTCATGGGCTGCCAGGTTGCGATCTACTGCCACAGGCATTAAAGATGCTGCAGGAGCCTGAGCAGGGAGGTCAAACCGGCCAGAATTCACAGTGGGTGCCTCTTGGGACACATGCCAGTGTTTCAGGTTCACAGCTGTCAGTGTCGAAAGTCACCTTGTGTCATAACTGTGGCTCTCTGCAAGCAGGTCACTCTCTAGGCCTCGGTTTTCTCACCTGGGAGCTCAGGTCTTATTGTCATCTTTCTCTTTTCTTTCTTTCTGGGCAAAGTCAGGTTTGTTGAGGTATAATTTACAGTAAACCCCGCTCTCTCCAGGAGTACTGTTGAATGACTTTTGACAGTGTAGGAGGTCACGCGGCCACCGCCGTAGTCAAGATCCAGAGTTTCCGTCACCCGAGACAGCTCCCTTAGAGCTAGTCCCCTACTGCCCCACCAGCTTCTGGCCACCACCACTGTCCCTGAGGTTTTGCCTTTTTCAGAAACCCGCGTTGGTGGCACCACACACGTCCCCTTTGACCCGGCGTGCTGGGGCGTCCCCTGGCCTCCCGTGTGCAGGGCCCACCGCCCGGCGCGCCGTCACTTCTCTCCTGCGTTTCAGACCCTGGCCGGCTCCTGCGGGAAGTTCGCCCCTTTTGAAATTAAAGAGAACATGGTCCTCGCCCCTCGCTGTCGGACTGCCTTTGACCAAGAGCTCCTGCATCAGTTAGACCAGCTCCTGCTGCAGCAGAAGGGCGACGTCTCCTTCCTGAAAGATCTGAAGGGCCGGCGGCCCCTCCGGTCCGGACCCACTGTGGTTTCTAACCGCGGTGCGGACATTTTTAACAGGTCAGCGTCTCTTCTGTGGGTGAAGCGCAGTTGGCCGAGCTCTGGGTTCCGGCCGCTGCTGGCCCGCTCGGGCCTTGGCCAGGCGCCTGCCTCCCAGGTCATGGGCCCTGGCTTCGGCACTTCGGCCAGCTTCTCTTCTGATTCCGTGAGCCTCCGAAATCTCCCGGCTGCGCCCCTGGAGCTCAGGCTGCCTGTCTGGCCTCCTGGTCTCTCCACGCGGGGCGCTGCCCTGTTCCTGCGACTTCACTTTTCCCCGCACCCCCGCTTCCCTGCGTGGCACAGGCCGGCCGCACGGTGGCAGTCTGTGTCCCGCTGCTGCTGCTCTGGTGGCCCGCCGCGTGAAGCATTGGTGGCCTGCTTCCCTGGGAGGGCCGGGGGTGAGGGAACACGTCACCGGGAGGTGCGTTGCTGAGCGCGGTCCTTGTCCCCAGTGACGTGGTGATTGTGGAGAGCAGCAAGGTAGACGGCGTTCCCGAAAGGAAGAAGTTCGGCAGGATGAAGCTCCTGCAGTTCTCAGAGAATCACCGACCGGCATACTGGGGAACGTGGAACAAGAAGACGACGGTCATCCACCCGAAGGACCCCTGGGCCCAGGACAGGGTGAGCGCGCAGGCGCAAGGGCGCGTCTCTGCGTTTCCTTCCTGGCCTGCCTGCACTGGTCTCTTGGGTTCTCCTAGTGCTCCAGCCCTTAGGGCTGGTGGTGACGCAGTGTGCGACTGTTTTCTCAGAAGCTCCTGGACTATGAGGTGGACAGTGATGACGAATGGGAAGAGGAGGAGCCTGGAGAGTCTCTCTCCCACAGCGAAGGGGTGAGCGCAGACCAGGAACAGTATGGGTTCCGCCACGGGCCCGCAGCGCTCTGGGCCAGGCTCCTGGGCCAGGCTCACCACACAGCTTCTGTGTCACCTGCAGAGCTGTCTGAGGATGTCGGCCAGGGGTTCGCATCTGCTTTTCCGGCTTATTTGGTGACACTGACCCATGTGGCAGCTGTGGGTTATAACCAAACAGTGTCGCCCCTTCTGGATGGGCACATGTGCGTCTGGGGGCTCCCAGGGCCCCTCCATGCCCTCCTGCCTTGCTGGCCAGCTTCACTCATTTGTGTTCGGCCTGCCCCCGCCCCCACTGCACGTAATGGATTGATTAGTGGGGTTTTAGCCAAGCCTCATGCTGTCCATAGGGACAACAGAATAGTAAGTGGCTTTTTTTTCCCCTTAGAAGTTCACAGATTTAAATTTTTAATGGAGCATATATCCTGTTTCCACGTATGTTTCCACATACTTTATTTTTTCCTTTTTTGAGGATGATGATGATGAAGTAGGAGACGATGAAGACGAGGATGATGGTTTTTTCGTGCCCCATGGGTACTTGTCCGAGGATGAGGGAGTCACCGAGGTGAGTGGGTACACAAGAAAGCAGTCGGCCCGGAGGAGCGCTCAGCCAGGCCGGAGCTTGGTGGCTGCTGACCTGGGGACGGTGCTTCTGCGGCCCTGCCCGCCCACAGCCGATCCCACGCATATTTCAGCACTCGTAGCCAGGAAGGCAGTCCCCAGCGTGTGGCTGTTTGCGGTCCCTGGGTCGGATCGCCACACCTTTTTTTTTTAACATTTGTTTAGCCAAAGTGTAATTAACATACAACAAAACATACGGATTTTAATTCTTTAGTTTGATGAGTTTGAACTATTGGCAACAGTTGTGAAACCACCACCTGAAATAAAACAGCAGTGGTCCCCAGCCTTTCTGGCACCAGGGGCCGGTGCTCTCACGAGAATCTAAGGCCTGACAATCCCAGGCGGGGCTGAGGCGGCGATGCTGGCGCTGGGGCTGCGAATGCAGATGGAGCTTTGCTCCCTCGCCTGCCGCTCACCTCCTGCTGTGCAGCCCGGTTCATAACAGGCCACGGACCAGGGGTTGGGGACCCCTTAAGTACAGAACTTGCCATCTTTCCAGAAGGTTCCCCTGATCCCCTTTGAGTTTACCCCACCAGCACCACCACCAACAGATGGTGGGTGGAACTTATGAGTAAGCCATTCTGAGGCTCGTGCGGCCTGTCGGTTGCAGTGTTTGGCCCGGGGGGAAATGGTGACAGGTTTGACACACTGGGGGGTGATACTCTCTCTGAGTCAGACCTGAAGCATGTGTGTTCCTTATGTGTTTCTGACCAAGGAGGCAGGTTGGTGTCTCGTTGCATGCTCGTGCCTGTGCTGGGTGATTTCAGGTTGCTATGACAGCCCCAAGATCACATGTTAACCTGAAAATCGAGAGTGGCATTAAGAGGCCTCTTCTCGTGCACCCGTGACTCGCCAGTCATGCCAGACAGGACAGATGCCTCTAAAACACCGACAGTGCTCACCACCGCTCCGTCTGAAACTGCACGTCGCCAACGATGTTAGGAGAGGAGCGAGTAGGGAGGTGGGGACTGAGGTTTCCACCGTGGCCCTGGCTGCGGGTCACCACCCGCAAGGGTTCTCTCCTCTTGTCCCTGAGGCGCGGGCCGACAATGCCTGGGTGGAGGGCAGCGGGGACCCTGAGTAAGCATCTATCTGCTCCCTCACCTGCAAGGAGTGTGCCGACCCCGAGAACCACAAGGTTCGCCAGAAGCTCAAGGCCAAGGAATGGGACGAGTTTCTAGCCAAGGGGAAGAGGTTCCGTGTGCTGCAGCCCATGAAGATTGGCTGCGTCTGGGCAGCGGACAGGGATGGTGGCGCCGACCTGAAGGTGCTGCAGCAGTTCACGGCATGCCTCCTGGAGACGGTGCCCTCCGAGGAGGAGCAGACGCCCAAGGCCTCCAGGAGAGAGAAGAGGGACCAGCACAGTGAGTGCTGGCCTGAGGAAGGGGCGGAAGGGGCGGGCTCCCAGCTGGTCCGAGGCCCCGGCAGTCCAGGGCCACAGGCAGGAGACTTGTTAGGCGAGTGGATTAATAGTTCAGAAGTTCGACCAGTCACAAAAGCCAGTGCTCGCGGGGTACCCCGTTCCTTCTCTGATGCCCACAACAGCAGGACGAGGTCGCCCGTGTACTTACCCCGCTTCACCGGCAGGGACACAGGTCCAGAGTGTCTGGCCCAGGGTCGGTCACATCCTTAGCTCGTGCCTCCTCTTCAAAGCTGGGCAGGACCCCTGACTCAGAAAGAGAGCACAGTGGCCACCACTAAGGAAAAACACGCGTAGAGTTCACCATGACACTATCTGTGCGAATCTACCCTGTGAGATTCGGGCTTGACAGTCCCTTCTGGAGCAAGTTCTTGTGTCTTAAATCTACCTTTGAAAGGCCACTCAAAGCAGACTGTCCCTCGATCTTGGTGACGGGTTGAGGAAGCATGTACGGTGTTTCCCCCGTGTCTTGACACCCACCCGTGTCCCCTCCTCTCCCCGCCAGTCTTGGCCCAGCTGCTCCCGCTGCTGCACGGAAACGTGAATGGGAGCAAAGTGATCATCCGGGAGTTCCAGGAGTGCTGCCGCCAAGGGCTGCTCAGCAAGGACACTGGCAGTCCGGAGAGCAGCGCCGCCAGCCCCCCCAGCCCTGGCTCTTCCCGCCCTCAGACGCCCACCACCGGCGAGGACACTGCCATCCCCTCCAAGGCCAGGCTCAAGCGAATCATTTCTGAGAACTCAGTGTACGAGAAGAGGCCTGACTTCCGGATGTGCTGGTACGTCCACCCCCATGTGCTGAAGAGCTTCGACCAGGAGCACCTGCCTGTGCCATGCCAGTGGAGTTATGTCACCATGGTGCCCTCGGCCACCAGGGAGGACAGTGGCAGCGTCCCTGCCGCAGGGTCCAGCCAGGGGACGCCCACCTCGCTGAAGAGGAAGTCGGCGGGCAGCATGTGCATCACTCAGTTCATGAAGAAGCGCAGGCACGATGGGCAGGTGAGAGGCGGGGCCCGGGGTGAGGGCAGGGCCCAGGGTGAGGGGCGGGGCATCCAGGGTAAATAGTTTTAGATTCACAGCAAAATTGAGTTAACAAAATTGTCCAGATTGAGAGGAAGGTACAGGGGTTTTCCATCTCACTCACCCCCTGGCCTGCACACACACAGCCTCCCCACTCTCAACATCCTTCATCAGAGTGGTACCCGAGTCACCGCTGATGAACCTGCGCTGACACATCATCATCTCCCGAAGTCCATAGTTGCTGCTAGGGTTCGCTCTTGGCCTTGCACATTCTGTGGGTTTGAGCCAATGTGTAATGACACGTGTCCACCATTGCAGCACCACGCAGAGTAGTGTCACTGCCGTGAAAGTCTTCTGTGCTCCGCCTGGTCATCCGTCCCTCCCCCAGCCCCTGGCACCCAGTGACCCTTTGCCACCTGTGCAGTTTCAGCTTTTCCGGAGTGTCGCACTGCGGGAATCCCACAGCGTGTGGGCTTCAGACCGGCCTCTCACGCTCGATCGTGTGCATTTGTTTCCTCTGTCTTCGTGGCTTCGTAGCCGCTCGGTTTCGGGCCCTCACGTCAGACTGGCCTCTCGCCGTTAGGTTTTGGCAGGGTGGTAAGAGCTGGCTTTCCTCCTCTCGGGCGGTGCCCCCTTCAGGAGGCGGTGCTGGGGGCGGTGCGCCTGTGCCAGGTGGGACGGAGAAGTGGTAGTAGGTGTTCACCCCGCACTCCCTGCTTCCGCCCACTGCCCCTCTGCGGGAGTTACTGTGCGGCTTAGGGCGCAGAGGCAAGAGAAGATGCTCCTGGAACATGTCTGGCCTTCCTAAACCTTCCACTCTCACAGCCACAGGGACCGGCAGAGTGGTCCAGTGTCAGCTGTTCCTGTCACTTCCCAGAGCCGCTGTCTGTGCGGGCCTGGGTGCGCAGCTGTGCCTGCCTGTGGATGCAGCTCGGTGCCATGGGGTGCCCCTGGGTGAGGAGACAGGGCAACCCACGAACACTTCCTTCCCTGGGCCTCGTCCAAAATGACGGCTTCATTAGATTCGTTAGGTGTTTGAGCCACAGAAGCTTTCGTGGTCGATCTCATTGTTAGCCCGTCTCACAAGGAACCTGCATGTGGCTATTCCGGTTGAAACCGGCTGGGGACCCCGATTTGAAAATGACTGGTGCTAGAGGACCCTCAGGCAGTTTTTGTGGGCCTCTGCCCTGTCAGCCCTCCCTCAGGGCACCCCTGTGCCCGCCGTCTGTCTTGTCGGGTTGGTGTGGAGTCCCGCACAGTCTCCTGTGGGGTCATAGCTGCGTTCCCGCGTCCATTCCCTTCGTACCCATTTGTGTTCGTAACCGGTGTTTCTCTGTGTGGGACCGCGGTTCTGCCCGTCACACCAGGTCTCCTCACACGCCAGGCACGGTGCTAGCACCTTGTGTGAATCCCTGTGCTTTATTGGTATGAGACGTCTCGTTTTCTAATTGAGCCTCCAGGAAAGAAAATGCAACAGGTCAGGCCGAGTGCACCCTCCTGGGTGACAGAAAGCGTGTGCCTGGGAGTCGGTGAAGCGGGTTTCACCCGAGATACACACGGTCACGTGGCCTCCGTTCCCTGATGCAGAAGCAGCGCCCAGGGAGGGGGTCAGAACTGTCAGATCTGGGTGTGCCGGCTCTGCGAGCCTGATGTCAGCGGGTCGGAAGGGCTACAGTCTGCATTTCAGAGCCCCTGCTCAGGGGGTCCTGTGGGAAGGGGCCGGGACCGCAGCGTGGGCCAGTGCAGTGGGCGCCACTTCCTTGGGGTGTCCTGGGAGCGGCCCATGGGCAGTCAGCTTCTCGCTGCTCTTCGGATCGCTCCCTGCTAAACAAACAGCACGGGGTCCTGAGGATCGTCCAGCCGAAGGTGACAGAGGCCCTGTGTTGTGGCGTAAACACACAGGCCTTTGTCTCCAGCAAGAAGGCCTGAGCTCGTGTGACGTCCTAGTCCAGCGGCTGAGTCCTCTCCCACTCCCTCCTTCCTTAGCCAGTGGCCCGGCCAGCAGGGTGAGTGAGGGTGGCTGAGCCCTCCCTGGGGAGACGGCCTGTTCAGCTGGAAGGGGATAATGACGTCCTAGTCCAGCGGTTGAGTCCTCTCCCACTCCCTCCTTCCTTAGCCGGTGGCCTGGCCAGCAGGGTGAGTGAGGGTGGCTGAGCCCTGGGGAGACGGCCTGTTCAGCTGGAAGGGGATACCCCAGCTGACTTCCACCTGTATCTTTCTGGCCAAAACGCTTTGGCACAGCCACTGTGAGCTTCAAGAGAGGCTGGGAAATGAAACCTGACCACCCTCTGCCCCCCAACGCAATTCCAGTTCTGTCTTGGGAGGGAGGGAATGCACGGGCACGCCTGCAGCAGGCCTGCTACTGCACGCCACCCACACAAAGTGGTGACTCGGCTACAACTAGGAGCGTGTGGAATGCTTCCCCCTACATCTTGGCAAAGTCGCTGGTATTTCTGCACCCCCGGGGGAAGTTGTAGCTCAACTATAAACGAATAAGTGCTTTAGAGTGAGTCAGGCTTTGTTAGTTTTGAGAATTTTAAAATCATTTAGAGTTCAAAATCGTAAAATCTTCTGGGTGTTACCTAGTGAGACGAACAGGTCGAGGTGGAGCTCCTACTCCCCCAACCAAGTATCTGTGGCCCCAGGGTGACTCAGTTTTATTTTAAAATGGGGACAGACTGAGTCTTATTTTTAAATGGGGACAGGTTCTGTTACCCCTTTCCAGTCAAATATATTCTGTCATCAAAACGAAACTAAAAGAACAGCGTGTCGCACAGTCGTGATTCTGCGATGCCAGATGTCTTCTGCTCTGCTGCGTGCCTCACACATCCTCCCTTCTCCGTCTCTGCATCCACTGCCTGCAGCAGTGATGGCGCGATGACAAGCGTTCCTGTCACGACAGGCTGCCGGCCGCCCAGCACGGCGGGACTCGGGGTGTCCGAAATTCCCGCTGTGGAATGTTTCATAGCCTGTCCTGTGCCTGGAAGGTTATGGATGGTGGTTCCTCTGCACTGCGTTTCCTGTTGCGGAGGCAGTGACCGGGGGAGGACGTAAAGAGATCTGTCTGTTCTGTTGGCATCATAGACCCAAACAAACATCCCCCAAATTCTCGTAAGCCAGAGCTGGGCTCTCTGCTCTTCTCGGCCAGTCGATTCTTTGAGAACAGATGGTCGGAAATTGCCCTCAGCACCCCACAGTGGCGACTGCTGCTTTTGATCTGGGGACTGTTCCTGTCTCAGTGATGCTCCACCCGCCGAGGAGTCTGGGCCTAAAGCGTATACACCAGGAACTGATGGGGCCGTGAACTTGAGCCCAGTCTGCCGACCAGCGCAGGCGCCCACTGTGCAAACTGGACAGTCTTACTGCTCTGTCGTCCCTTTTCCAGGCAAACGGAGATTTTTGTATCAGAGGAATTTCAAAGTGTTTTAAGAAGTAGCCTCCCCGTTGAAATAAGCCCGTCCCCGCCTCCTGTGCTGGTTCCCTTTGTTCACTTACAGAGTGTGAGCACCGTGCGCCTGGCTGATGTTTAATCAGTTGTCTTTCTGTCCCCTTCCACATTGTCTTTCTGTCCCCTCTGCCTAATGCCGGTGACAACGGCCCAAGAACCTTGTTAGAAATTCTACCCATAGTAGAGGCCTTCTGTCCCTGCTCCGTCCCTCCTGACCTCTGTCCACAGTTGCCCAGATAGTATCCTCACTGGCAAAACTGGTCTAAGCACAAATCGAGGGCTGGCAAGCCTCAGGCAGAGGAGACAGAGAAAGCACTGACTGACTTTTATTTCAGATAATAAACTCAGAAAGTACGTGTTTTATCCATATCTCTTTCAAAGCAAACCAGAAGCCCAGAATTGTTTCTAATTCAAAAAGGTTCACCAGTTATTTTTGGAATAAGGTAAACATGATGGTGGTCATTTTCAGAGATCTGAATTTAGTTCTTTGGCGAGAACTCCCCAAGGTTTCCTTTGCTCGTTGGCCAATCAGACAGACGCCTCCGGTTTGTTGCTAAAACTGGTAGAGGACGTCGAGAGTGTGGACGCACACTGGCCGGCCCCCTTGCTGACAGCCTGCGCCCCCTTGTCTGTCAGGTAGGAGCTGGGGACCTGGATGGCTTCCAGGCAGACACGGAGGAAGAGGAGGAAGAGGATGGTGACTGTGTGATGATGGACATCTCGGGTGTTGCGGGTGAGAATGGCCCCAGACCCTCATGCAGACCGTCCGCAGCAGGGGGAGGGGCGTGCGCCCTCTCGTGCATAGTGGGGGTTGGGCTAAAAGGCCCCGAAAGGCACTGGGCAGGGTGGGCGGTTGGTTCCGGTCCAGGCCCTCGAGGATCTGACTTGGTCTGAAAGCTACATTTATGAAACCAAAGGACCAAAGGTTGGTTGCTGCCAAGGTGGAGGGTGGACAGGTGGAATCAGGGAGGCGGGCAGGGGCCTGGCGCCGGTGAGGGCGCAGCCTCAGCCGACCTTCTCCAGGGACGAGGTGGGCAGCCCAAGGTCCGGCGGTTCTCAGCGGAGCCACCTGGCCTCTGTGCCATTTCCTCACCTTTCTCACGGGGCCTTCTCCCTTCCTGGGGGGTTAGCGAGGCAGGCTGAGATTTGGCTCTTCCGGTGAGTGAGCTGAGGGGACAGGGTGTGGGTGCTACAGCCGTGCCCCTCTAACCACAGTTACATGGGGGTCCCACCCCGAGAAGGCTCCCAGAGCAGTTTCAGGCCCCAGTGACGTGGGTGCAGCTGGCTAAAGCGCCCCCTCTCACCTTGCAGAGGTCCAGGACCCGTGCGAAACCACTGCCGGAGCTGGGGGGCCGGTGGGAATGGACACCAGTGAGAGCCCCACGCCCTCCAGCTCGCTCAGCCCCTCCTGAGCGCCCCGACTGGCTGGTGTACGTAGAATGGTTAGGGTTTTCTCAGATCCCTCAGATACTTGAACGTCCTTTGATTCCTGTGTAAAGAGCACTTTGTCCTGCTTTGCATTCCCCCCAGAGGGTCGGAAAGTATATAGGATGCTTGATTCATTCATTTTGATATTTGTAAAAATTTCCCCCCCAAAGCTGCATATTAATCTGCCCTGTAATAAAGCATTACCGCGGCGTGCTGGCCTGCACGGGGCAGGGCGTGCCCTGCAGACCCCGAGCGGGCGCTGTGAAGAAATGCTGTGAATGAATTGGAGCCCCGTGCTGTGGCGTGGGGCCAGGACCTGATATGGATGTGTATAAACTTATCGCCTGCTCCTCACCTGGTGTGTCTCATCTTTTTAACACCGTTTCTGTGGGCTGGCGGGTGTGTGCCTTCACCTGCAGCCCAAGCCTGGCACCCGTTTCTGCTGTGAAACCTCAGCCTCTGCCTCCCTGCTGACCTAGTTCAGGGCGAAGCTTCGTAGCAGGTGCATATGGCGGGTCAGTCCCTCCTGCCCCTTGGGAGGTGAGCGGGGCGTATTCTCTCATGGTCCTGAATCCTGGCTTCCAGATGGACTTCTGGGTCCAGCCACACCTCAGGGAGTGTTGAAATAAGGAGTGTGGAGGCAGCTGCGACGCCTGAGCCCTAGTCCCCAAAAGCCTGGAGCGGTCCCACGCTGGGGCAGTGATAGCCCCAGAGGCTCTGAGCACATGTTGAAGGCCTCAGGGAGCTGACATTTTGGCAGGAGGTCACGGATTCCGTCCGACTTGGACTCCTGTCCTGCTGACTCCTCGTGTGGTTTTTGTCCCTGCTGCCCCCACAGGGGAAGAGCCAGTAGGCAAAGCATTATGCAGACCAGTTCACAGCTGGACATAGCCAGACTGGGCGACACGACCTGTTGCTGGGTGGTGACCAAGACTCCATCAGGCTTGCCTCCCCCACCAACACTTTGATCTTCCTTCAGGGGCCCCGTTTGGGTGGGGCTGACAAGACACCTCAGTTGCAGGGTGAGGGCGTGAGCCCAGCCAGGACCTCCTGCTGGAGGCAGGGTACAGCTGTGTGAACACAGGTGCGTGTAGGACAGGCACACGTGTTAACAATGTGGACATAGCTACCTGTGCCACCAAGTCCTCTTAAGTCCATTTTAGTTGTGCATCTGACAACTAGCAGGTGAGTCCTAGCAGCAGTTGGGGACAGGGAGGGGACATGTGACCAGAGTGACAGAGGCCTTGCTGGGTTCCTGAAATACAGCAGCGGGAAGGCCTGGGGCCTGCCCCCCACACCCCTCCCCGCCCCATGTGAAGACAGCTGCTGGTGGCCCAGGTGTGAGGCAAGGGCATGCATGGGGGCAGCTTGCTGGCCAATGGATTTTTGCTTTTAAAGTCACATTTGGGACCTTGAAGTTTCAAGCCTGGCCATCACCCAACTGGCACTGGCCAGAGGACCAGCCATCAGGTCTCAGCACAGGGAAGGATCTAGAAGGAACAGGAGCCAGCAGTCCACTGAGGGTGAGGGACAAGATGATCCAGGTGGGCAGTGGAGCGCCCAGGCCCTGGGTGACAGGCAAGTTCCTTCATGCCCTGGGCCTCCATTTCTCGCAGTCCCCTACAACCGCTGTAACACGTGACCACAAACGGCTTGAAACTCAAACTTTAGTCTGGGGTGTCGGATCTGACGTGGGCCTCACTGCATTAAAACCCAAGTGTGGGCGGGGCTGGTTCCTTCTGGAAGCTCCAGAGGAAAATCCACTTCCGTGCCTTTTCTAGCTTCTAGAGGTCACGCGTTCCTTGGTTCGTGGCTCCCTCCCCAGTCTGAAACCCACAGTGCAGCCTCCCCCATCCCTTCTGCCTCCTCCTTCCACGGTAAAAACCCGTGATGGCACTGGGCCCATCTGGAAAGCCCATGACACTCTTTGAGATCCTTACTCACATGCAAAGTCCCTTTTGTCACGTAAAGCAAAATTTATAGGTTCCAGGGATGAGAACATGGACATCCACAGGGGCTGAGGCCCGACCCCATAGCCCAGGTCCCTGGGGCACCATCCCTCAGCAGCCACTAGGTGACTGCAGCTGCTGGGCCTGCCCTGCACCACACAGCTGGAATTACCACCAGGAGACGAGGCAAACAGCCTGTTTATTTGGGTTCAGAATTTATATAATTCTGTCCTGCCAAGCCCAGTTTCTCCCTCTTATGCCACTGACACCAGCCACCCTACAAGGTGCCCTCAGGCCAGGAGTGGCACCTGGGCCACTCTCCTGCCCAGGGAGTTGCCTGCCTATCCATCCTGCCTGGGGTTGTTAAACAGGTTAAGAGCAGCTGGAGAAGACTTAGACCCAGTGTGGCCGTTGTCCCTGAAAGCTCTCTGGGCGGCGGTCACAGGCCAACCAGCGGCCCTCCCCTGCCCAGGCGCTCTGTGGGCTGGGCAAATGGTCTCAGAGGAGGCAGGAGGCCCTGGAGTGGAGGGACGCTGGGACAGCGGCAGTGGTGCAGGAAGCAGGAGAGCATGAGACGGGCCACGGGGGCTGAAGCCAACCCTGCTTTTATTTCACGAGAGCTTCTCGATGGCCGACAGGAGCTCGGGTTTCAGAATAGACTCCGGCTCGGCCCCCGCGGCCTTGATGTCCTCGAGCACTGCCGCATCCCAGGAGAAGGTCAGCAGGGCCGAGGGCACCTGTGGCAGGGAGAGAAGCCTCAGCCTTGCTCTGGCTCTACAGGACAGAGCGTACGTCTTAATGCTGACCATCTCATGCTGGAGCCAGGGCCACACTGTCCCGGGGCTGCTCCCTGCCAGTGACGCCAGTGGCACCAGTGAGGCCCAGTCCTGCGGTCAGCCCCTTCTCAAAGCAGGGGTCCCTCCTATGGCCGGCCCGGGACCAGGGATGCCCCTGGCCCGGCTGAGGCCATCCCAGCCTCGGGCAGCAGTTGGGGCCTCCCACTCAGGCCACTCTCCAGCCCCCTCTGGCTCCCTCCAGCCTCCCCAGTAAATCTCCACGTTACCAACCCTGCTGGGTTCTCCTCAGAGGCTCGAACTAACACGCCTGCCACATTCCTTCCCAGTTTACAGGGGGAGAACAAGTGACTCAAGGTCACACTGTAGGCGGGAAGGTAGGACTGAAGCCCAGGGAGACTGACGCCGGCCCTCTCCTAGCACCACCCCACACAGAAGAGCGCCGCCCTTGTGGGGAGCACGTGCCCACTCAGCGAGAACCTGGAGCTCCAACACGCGGAGGGCTGTCACTCACCAGCCCGCACTCATTGAAAGCCAGGTTCTCATCCTCCAACAACTTCTGCCCCCCGGAGGCCAGCAGCTCAAAGGGCAGCCAGTCGTTCTGCAAAGCCTCCCGGACAAAACTGTACAGTACCGCCACCCTCTCCCGGGCGTAGAAGGTCCCTGGGGTGGGGGGGCATAGTCAGAGCAGGGCTGGAGATCATGGGAACCCTCCCAGGACCCACCCAGCCGAGCTCAGACCAGAGAGACCTCCCGCTCTTGCCGGGGCACAGCTCACCCGCCGAAGCTATCACCAGACCCGCTCGGCCCCGCCTTTCCCCGCAGGGCCCGGCGGCAGGCAGCGCGCACCTTGCAAGAGGCAGCCATCGGGCAAGCGCACGCGCAGCAGTGTGTAGGTGTATTTGCGCATCTCTCTCTGCTCCTCCTTCTCCCGCATGGCCTTGGTCCGCAGCATGCTCAGCCGCTCCACCGCCTCAGACCGGAGCCTCTGCTCCCGCTTGACCTCCTCGGCCGTGAGGCCGAAAAAGTCGGCAGGCAGGTCGAACTGCGAGGCCAGGGGTGAGGGCCGGAAGACGCGGCGCTGGCGGGCCAATGTGGCCCGCAGGGGCTCGGCGCCCAGCAGCTGCTCCTTGTGCCTCTCCAGGCTCTGGGGCTGGGCCAGGGCGGCCTCACTGAGCACATAGAACTCTTCGGGGCCCTCTGGAGCATGCAGAGACGTCACTGCCACAGCAGGAAGACCCCAGAGCCAGCCCTCCCCCCCGACACACACACCCCCCGCAACGCCTAGGTCAGCCAAGGCCCTTCTCTACTCAGCTTACCCTGATCTGGAACTGCCAACAGTGCCTTCTGGAAGCCGATGGCCTCAAAAAACTCATGGGTCCCCTCCAGGCAGTTAATACGCTCCTGGGAGCAGAGCTGGAGGTCACACAGGGCACTGGGCCTCCCCACCCTCCCCAGCCTCATGGCCCACCCAGCCCAGCGTCCCCCTCAGCGCAGCTGCTAGCTACCCTGTGGGCAGAACAAACCCCCGAAGCTGCCTAAGGAGAGACTGCAGGGTTTCTGGCAGCTGCTCAGAGGGCATGGGACCCTAAAGGCCAACAACTGGGGTGAAAGAGGAGCTAAAGATCCAAAAGACAGCATGGGGCAGTCCCAGCAGTGGAGAGGGGCCACACGTGATGCTGGGGGTGGGGCAGCGGGTGTCCTGCCAGCAGCACGGGTGACATAGATCAGGGTGGAGGAACCCCACGATTTCTCCACAGAAGCCAGAAATGATTGTGTGTGTAAGAAATCACCCCAATGCTGACGTGTTCCCAATTATTCGAATTAAAGGAAAGCCAAAATATGCCGCGGGGTGGTACGAGGGGCCCACCAAATACAGACATCCTGTATGACCAACATTCACAAAGGCCCCTGTCCACGTGCCACCTCTGCCCACCTCGACCCGCAGCCCCTGGAGGGCCCTCCCACGTGGCTGAGGCGGCTCAGCCGCGCCGACTACACCGGGCTAGAAGCCACTGCATCCAGCCCTCACCTGGAACACCTTGTTCTGCAGCTTGATCTTCCGGTACTTCTCCTCTTCGGGGTGCAGGTGGATATTGTCCAGGTACCTGGGGCAGAATTGGGGGGATGGGGACAGGCTTGGCTTGGCTGCCTGGCTCCTCTGTACCTCCCACCCCCAGCCAGACAGCAGCTCAGAGCCACTGCTGGCCTTGTGGTAAGAGTGACTCGGGGGTGGGGGCTGCAATCAGACCTCACATACCCGGTGGAGCCCGACCCTGGTGCCAACAGCCTGGGTCAGCACAGGACACCCACGGGGGGCCCGTCACTGTGCCTGCTCCTGAATCCTGCCTCCCCTGGAGAGCACCAATGAACCACAGTGTCAGTGGAGTGAACAGAGTCAGAATAATGGGAGCTTGTGAGCGAGATTGACTTGAACACCCCCCCGACCTGCTCGGTCGGGGAATGGGGCGGCACCCTGCCTCCCTCACGTTGCTCTAATGATCCACAGGGAAGCCAGTGTTGAGAACCCCCAATTTGGTAAACCTCTCTGGTTTACAGACAAGTAAACTGAGGCCCAGAGAGGCCAAGCCCCTTCCCCACGGGGTCACTCCCAGGGCCAGGTTCCTGAGCCCCCTCAGCGGCGAGTCAGGCTAGAGGCCCACAGGGCTGCCCCCGGCGGGGAGGGGCCCCCGCTCACCTGGCGATGGTGTCCACGCCCAGCTTCACCCGGTCCCGGTCTTTGTTGAACGTGTGGATTTTCATGATGGAAGCAGCTACAGGGTCAGTGGAGAAATGCTGGGAGAGCAGAAAGGGGGTCAAGATGCGCTCGCCTCACGGCCTGGAGGCCGACGACCCAGGTGGCAGCAGTAATAACAGTGGACACAGGACTGTCTCACAGCGGGCCGCCAGTGATGTTTAACTGAAGCAAACTCAACTGGACACACTCGGCAGACAGCACCATCCTGGGCCTCGGGCCGGCCCTCACCTCTCAGGCAGAGAAATTGTCAGCAGCCCAGGTCATGTCATGGAATTGAGGCTACCGACTCGCAACCCTGAGACAGGACGTGAGCCCGGACGATCTGGGCGGGCCCAGGGTGTCATCAGGGCCCGTTAGGAAACGGAATCAGAGGGCAGCAAGACGGAGGGAGACGGCTTGGCATCCCTGGCTGTGAAGATGGAGGAAGAGGCCACAGAATACAGGCTGCCTGGGAGCCGGAAAGGCCTGGAAATGGACTCTCCCAGAACGTCCAGAAGGAACGCAGCCCTTCTGCCACCAGTGAGAGCCACGTTGGACTCTGACTTCCAAGATAAGAGACTAGACGTATACGTTTGAAGCCCCAGAGTTTGTAGTGACTTGTGATGACGGTGGTGGGAAACTCAGACCCAGGACAGATATTCAGATATCCTTTTATTCTTTTTGCAATTTTAAGTTTGGAATTATTTCCAAATGCAGAGTATTAAAAGAAAAAAACATCAGTGTCTTTTTCATACGGGTTTAATGGCAGATAGTGTTCACAATAATTAAGCGGGAACACTACAATAGCTTTTACGTAAAACCAAAGCCAGTGAACGGAAGAGACGCGTATCTGGAACGTCTCTGAAAGCTACTCGCAGAGGTCGCCTCCCGGGAGGGAGGTGGAGAGGTGGGTGGAAGGCAGTTCAGTGCAGCAGCTTCAGACCCCTCCCCACGCCTGCGTCCCTGAGCCGCACATAAGCATTACCTCTTTAAAAAAGTGAAAATGGACACGATGTACGCAGCTGGGAACATCAGGGGGAAACGCTGCCTGGACTCACCCACGCTCACTGAAGGCAGCTCTGACCCCAAAACATCTAGGGGAGGGGACGGAGGCCTAGGGCCACCACTCACCGAGGCAATGGCCTCTTTGACGTGGCTGTCCCGCTGGTCCTTTCTCAGGAGGGCCCCCGTGAGCGGGCAGATGAAGTACACTCCAGGCACTGCCAGGTGTGTCGAGCCTTCCTCTTTGGGCTCGGGCACCTGGGAGGATGCGGATAAAGGTGTCTGAGCCCGGGCTGTGGACAGAGTCTGCCCGAGCCACTGAGCTGCCACAGTCCTGAAAGCACGGCCCTGGAAGCCAGATGTCCCTGGTCCCAACATGTTCCCCTCCGCCGTGAAACACCGTGGTCCAGGGACCGAGGCCCTCCGAGGCTGTTTTCTGGTCTGTGAAACATCTCTGCAGGACCAGCTCGGAATTCAGTGTGGCAGCTTTGGACACAGTGCTCAGTCAATGGCTGCTGCTGCTCCTGTCCCCGCACCTTGTGGAGAGCGGGTCTGTGGTTGAGCGTCCACAGTCATGGTGCCCTGGATGAGTTCCGGCCTCTGTCTGGGGCCCTGGCCCTAGGCCACCTCTAGGGTTTCTCCCACGCTAAAGTCCAGGGAGAACTCGAGGGTCCAGCTGCTGCGAATGTGCTTTCTCCAGAGCTCCACTCTGAGGTTCTCCTCCTCCAGGAAGGCCTCCGCTTACACCAGTCTCTGCAGAGCCCTTTTACCTCCCAAGGCGGCGGCACAGGGCAGTGCTAAGGGTACTGGCCTTGGCGTCCCAAAGACTGGGGCTCCCATTCGGTTTTCAGGTACATGACTGAGGACAGCGGGCTTTGCCTCCCTCGACCTGTTTTCTCTTTTGAAAACTGGGACCCGTAAGAGCAACCGACCAACAAGCTAATGGGATCCAGTCCCACACTCGGCACCCAGGCCTGGCATCAGGTGCCGAGCGTAGAGGGCCCAGGCGGCACTGCACTGGTACAGTCCACCTCAACCTTGCAAGGCAGGGCTCCCCACGGCCAGTGTGACCTCTACCCACCCTGACCTCTCTCTCCGTCCCCTGTCCCCCACCAGGTGCTTCTAGCCCAAGGCTGGCCACTTATCTGGGGATGATGAAATGGCCAATTAGACAAAAGAAAGGAGGAACCTGGGGGCAGTCCGGCTCCCGTGCCCCAGGCCCCCTGGGGTGTCACCAGCCACGTGGCTGCTTTTACCATGTTGGTCCCTGGGGCTTCCGGGCTCCCACTGACAGTCGCTTCCGCTCGAAGTTCCTTTCTCACTGCAGGGAGAGGCAGAGACAGGTCAGTGTATGGATCCTGCTCTGTCCCCAGGACCAGCCCTGCCCAGAGGACTCAGATCCTCCTACTGAGACAGGCTCATGACCACCCCCCACCTACCCCCGAGGCCAGCCTGAGTTCTAGTCTTTTCTCTAGCTTCAGGTCCTTCCTGGCCCCCAAGCTTCGCCTGACCACCTGAGAACCTTTGACCTCTTCCACTTCCCCAGCTTCGACCCACCCGGACTCATCAGACTGTTGTTCCTTTCCATCCTGCATTTCTCCCCTCACAGCTGTGATTTTAAAGCCCCCCAAAGTCGTTGGTTATGTAATGATTCGCACCCAAGGCCAAACTGGACGTGGGACCCGTGAGCACCCATGACCCAGCCCTGCCACAACCTGAGGCCGGGCGCAGCTCACCCTGGTTCCGGATGGCGTCCTGCGACGTGGGGCCCCGCGCCCTCGGCTGCTTCTGCTCCAGCCGGGCCAGGGCGGCGGCGGCGGCCATCTGCGCCTCATCGGTGGGGCCCTGGCGGGGCTGCCGGAGCGGCAGCTGGTTGGGCTTTTCTCTGGGGGCCTTCTCCCTGGGGAGAGACAGAAGAAAAGTGAGGTGATGCAGGGTCAGACAGAAGAGCTTCCGCCCCCTCCCGCTTCCACTCCTGTGCTGTCAGACCAACGCGTCCCTCTTTGCTAGGGGCCACCCACGCCACCAGAAGGCTCTGACACAAACATTAAGAGGCCCTGCCCCTTTGGGCAAGTCGTGCACTGGCCTGGGCCTCAGTGGTGTCACCTGTTAAATAGGGTAACACGTAACAGCACCCGCATACACAAGGACCATCCCAGGGAAGTATGTGGGACAGCACCCCAATGTCTTCAGGAACTGATGCGACTCAAAGGTGTCGCTCCTGTCCTCGCTCCCTCCAGGTAGGACCACTGACTCGCTGTCCAAACAGCGAGCAGGTGTGACATGCGCACGTCCTGTGTGCCAGGCAGCACGCAGCGTTCATGCCTCACGCCAACGCGCACCCGAGGGAGGTCTCAAGATTCCTTCTCACAAGTCCTAGAAAGTCACAGCAGCTCAGACAGCTGCGAGCCCCAGGTTACAGTCCCTGAGCTCTGGTTCACTCTCCACCCTGGGAAATACACCTGCCATGACCCCAGGGGAGGGATGGCTTCTAATCTACTTAGCAGGAAAAAGAGCTGGCTGCGGATGTGTCAGCAGAGAGAATGTGTCAGCAGAGACGTCCCTCCTGCCCAGGCCGGCTCCCGCCTCGCCTACCTTCCCTCAGGACCGGCCCCGGCCCCGGCCCCGGCCCCGGCCCCAGCAGTTGCGACTGCTGCGCTACGTCTGCAAAACCCCAGGGGCCAAGGCTCTCTCAGTTCCCGGCCTCAGTCCTCCGCTCAGGTGCAAAGGCTGCCCTCTCTTCTTGTTCCAAGGCCCCTGAGACCTGCTTCCTGCCTATTACGGCCCCTCCTGCCAGCCCTCTCCACAGCCGAAAAGGTCGAGTTGAAGAAAAAATGAGTCACACACACCCGCCCCAGCCCCGTGTGATGTTGAGCTCTTTCTATAAAAATGCCGCTTTCCGGGATACCTCACCCAACCCTCAGGTGGCTCCCCTGGGCGGCCAGAGGGCTCCTTCTAAAACCGAAGCCAGCACTGACCACACCTCTGCACCAAGTCCTCCCAGCACCTGTACAACAGGACCCTAAAGCCACCCACGGCCGCACTGGCACCTCTACCTCCCTGCTGCCACCTCTACCTCCCTCGTTCGCTCCTGTCTACGCTGGTGTCCTGATGTTGCTCACACAGGCCCAGCGGGTTCCTGCCACAGAGCCTTTGCACTTCCTGTGCCTCTGCCAGGAATGCTCTGCCCGGAGGTGGGATGAGGGCAGGAGGTCTGGGAGGGGTAGAGTGCTTCGTGTGCAAGGGGGGAGGGTGCGGGGGCGGGACAGAGAAAGATGGGGGAGGAGCAGGGAGGGAGGGAAAGGAGTTGAGTCTCACCTCATCCAGCTTTGGCTCAAATGTCAGCTCAGAGAGGCATTTCTGCACCACTATCCCCTGCCCTGTGATTTTTTTTCACCATCCAAACACCACGTGATCTGTCATCGCATAGGTACTGGTTTATTTGTCCATGTCCCCCACTAGAAGGCGAGGCCTGAGAATTTTGTGTCAGCCACACTGAAACTGCTTGACACACGCCCTCTTGCACACCCTGAGTCTCCCATCTCGCTCCTCGAGTGTCGCACAAACCTGCGTCTCCACTACTTCCCGCCACTCTCCTCCCAGACCTCTAATCAACCTCAGGGCCTCCACCTCCTTCCTGTCCCACAGTCCCAGCTGCCCCAGCCGCCACCACCACCCACCACTTGTCGAACGGATGAACGGACCTCCTTGTCTGGTCTACCGCGCCCCACAGCCCCCTCTCAAGCTGCCCTTCTACCCTTCTCAGGCTCTCGGGCTCTGATTTTGTCCACTGTGTTTCTCCCCCCACCCCCCAGTCTCGGACCTGGCCCTCATGGGCCTCCTTTGTCCCACTCAGTTCTCCTCTCCGACGAACCCCAAGATCCACCAATCCTCAGGACAGATGGCCTGAGGCCCTTGCCCTGCACCCACTCTCCCTCACCCAGCACCACGGCCTCATGATTCTCTCACCGCCCCGTCCTGCCCTCCACCTGGCCCCTACCTCTTCACAATCCCTTCTATTATTCCTCACGGGCCCCTGCCCAGGCTAACATCTTTCCTCAGTCACTCCCCATCCTAGGACCACCCCTGCCAGTCCCCTCTGGCCTGAAGCTCCCTGCAGCAGCCCCGCCCCCCAGTGGAGCTTCCTTCTCTGCCCACCAGCCCACAGCCTAGCATCCATCCTCACCTGCTCCACAGCACCTGCCCCCCACGTGGCCCCCCACACACCTCCTCGAGAGTTTCCAGTCTTGCCTCAGGCCCTTCCCTTCCTCCAGACAACTCCCGGAGGCCCCAGGGTGTGCACACCACCTCGCCTACCCTCCCAGGTCCCCCAAGCGCCCCCCATTCCACTCAACTATCATCCGCAAGGCCCCCATCCCCTTCCCATCGCAGACTCGCGCATCCCACCTCCCGCGCCTCCATTCTCCTCCCAGAACTTGTCCCGCGCGCCTCGCAGCCCGCAGCATTCACGCAGGCCGCGCGAACCCCTGCCGACCCTCGCAGCAGCGCCGCGGGCTCCCTGGCTCCACGCGCTCACCCAGTCCTCCCTCGCGCTCCGCAGCCTGGGCCAGACCCCCAACCCCACGGACGCTAAGCCTCTCGACTCTGCTTCTCCAGGCTCAGCCCCCAACCCGGGTCACCTAGGGCCCCGTCTCCGCCCTCAGGCGTCCCTCATGCCGCCCCCTTACTCCCCGTACAAGTCTCTCCATTCATCGCCA